GGCTGGTTTCGAACTCCTGAGCTCAAACAATCCGCCCGCCTTGGCCTCCCAGAGAGCTAGAATTACAGGCGTGAGCCACCGCGCCCGGCCTGCATGACTGCATTTTAAAGATGACATGTTTTGGGGTGAATAATTCTCCAACTTTTTACCTCACAAAAATGACAGTCTCCTTTATGTTGCACAGGATAAGTGTTAATTTTTTATGTGTGACTCCTGTGCCTACTTTTTACTCTGTTCTTTCCTTTCTCTGACAAACTGGTTAAGAAGAAACATAAAACTAAAATCGTGAAAGGAACTCCAGCATCATCAAGGCCATGACTGGTGTTTTAAAATTGTGAAAGTAATGCTGACAAGTTTTAAGTAATTCTGACTCTTTCGGTCATACAGTCATGTTTCGCTTAACGATGGGGATACATTTCATTAGGCAATTTCGTCATTGTTAGAGCATCATAGGGTATACTTACACAAACCTAGATAGTATAGCCTACTACATATCTAGGCTATAGGATATAAGCTATTGCTCCTAGGCTACAAATCTGTTCGGTACGTTACTATACTAAATAGTATAGGTAACTGTTAAACAATGGTAAGTATTTGTGTATCAAAAACATACCTAAACAGAAAAGGTACAGTAAAAATATATTATAATCTGAAGGGACCACCATTGTATATGAGGTCATCATTGATCAAAATGTTATGTGGTACATGACTGTATTAGATTTGAGGTGTAGGTGAAAGCTCTATCTTTAGATTAATACTGATTTAGCATGGTATAGTTATAAGAACACAGGACTAAGAGTAAAGATTTTTATACCCATTATTGCAACTAAGCTTTGTGACCTTGGGCAAGTATCTTCATTTCTCTGGCCCTTTATCTATAAAAGGAGGATTGAGACAGATAATTCTAAAATATCTTCTGCTTTTAGAATTCAGGCATTTAAACATAATAATATATCCATTTTGCTGTTTGTCTTTTGCCTGCCAGGGAGAAGTTATACACTGGTTGGCATGTTCATTATATGTTGCATGCCGCAAAAGCATTATTCCCACAGTTGGAAAGGGTATCATGGAAGGAAACTGTGTTTCACTTACCAGAATACTGCGTTCAGCTAAATTAAGGTAAAGCACTTTGATTTTTCTAATGTTGTTTATAAGCCCTAAATTTAGTTTTAAAATTGAATTTCTCTTTATTTTAAGTCATTTGACTTCATTTAATTCTAAGTTTGTTATCACATGGATATCCTTTCCCAATTCTCACATTCTTCCTCTTTCATTCTTCCTCAAATTCTGACTTAAGCCAGAGGCCTCTGTGCTAAATCTTAATTTTTTAAATTTGGAAATAATTTCAGGCTTACAGAAAAGTTGCAAAAATAAGAAAAGGACAGGCCAGGCACAGTGGCTCACGCCTGTAATCCTAGCACTCTGGGAGGCCGAAGTGGGAGGATAGCTTGAGCTCAGGAGTTCAAGACCAGCCTAAGGAAGAGTGAGAACCCGTCTCCACTAAAAATAGAAAAAATTAGCTGGGCATGGTGACGCGTGCCTGTAGTCCCAGCTACTCGGGAAGCTGAGGCAGGAGGATCGCTTTAGCCCAGGAGTTACTCACCCAGGAGTTACTCATCAGGACAAAAGAGTGAGACTGTCTCAAAGAAGAAAGAAAAGGCCAAACATACCCATATACCCTTGACCCATATTCACCTGTTATTGATATTTTTATGCCATTTGCTTTGTCATTTGATCTTTCTCTCTTAAATATAATATATACATCTTTCTGTCTTAAATAATATTTTTTCCTGAGTCATTTCAAAGTAAGTAGTGTGAATTTATACCCCTTTACCCCTAAATACTTCAATGTGTAGTTTCTTAAGTAACTACAGTACAGTTATCAACTTCAGCAAAGTTAACATTGATAAAATAATTTTATCTAACTTGACATCTCTGTTCTAGTTTTGTTAGTCAATTTAATAATGTTCTTTATAGCATTTTTTTCCTTCAAGTACAGTTTCCAATCTAGGATCAATTAATGGATTTGCTTATCATCTCTATTTATTCTCCTTTAATTAGAAACATTTCCACAATCTTTGTCTTTTATGACATTAACATTTATGAAGAATATAATCCACAACCACCTTGTCCCCCTTTTTATTATAATCGAGTGTTCCTCATTTTGGATTTGTCTGATATTTTCTTATGATCAGATGCAGATTATACATTTCCTGATGGAAAACTATACAAGTGAGTTTGTGTCTTCAGGATATCACATCTGATGGCTCATGTTATCCATCTGTCGTCTCTCATTGATGCTGTTAATTTTGGTCATTTTGTCAAGGTGTTGTCCTATTTCTCTACATATAGTTCATATTTTTTTTTCCCCTTGCAACTACTCTACAAGTCTTAGCTATATCTATTACCTGCTTCAGTATCAACCATATAGAATTATTTTTCTGGATAGGAAACAGAAGAAATGGAGTGATCCAGTTTGAATAGGTGTTAATGTTCTTGAGACAGAACTAATTGAGATCATTGTCTATTTGCTATCCCTGGTTTTCTGGGGTGGAACACGAGCAAAGTTTAAAGCCCTGTCCAGGGATGGCAAATAGGTTTCAGTTCATTTTAAATGAAAAAGAAATTCT